AGACTAATAATAAATCTTCTTTCAAATACACCAGGAGCAGGAAACCTGCCAGAGAGTCCGTGGGGCCAGTGAGTGATCAGGAGTGTTCAGTGAAGATAAGTCAACAGCACACATTTTAAAAAGTTATTTGTTTCTGCATTCCCTGTGGAAGACCCTGAGGAGGTTCCCACACCAAAACCTTTCTTTATGGGAAATGCATCAGAGGAGCTGCTGCAAGTGGAAGTGTTGCAAGGGAAAGTTATGGGACAAGCAGACTGAAATGCAGATGAACAAGTTGCCAAGACCAGGCAATGTTCAGTAATTTTGAAAGAACTCAAGGATTACTGTTTTTTAAAAAGAAGCCAGAGAACTAGCTGTGGTGTGTAGCTTCTTGCTTGACACTGCCTGGATACCCAAAGACTGGAAATGGCTGATGTGCTGCCAGTTTTTTAAAAGGATTGCAAGGTGACCTGGCTAATCACAGGCTGATAAACCTGATGTCCATAGTGTTCAGATTAGCAGAAACTGTAATGAAGTGGATGCATAGACAAATATGATGTATTTGAGAAGAGTCAGCACTGCTTTTGGAAAGTGCAGTCATGCCTTACAAACATATTGGGGTTCTCTGAAGGTGTTAACAAACCTGGATAAGGGGTTGATAAAGTTTGTGTGGATTCCCTGAAAGCTTTAATAGCCTCAACAGAGGCTCTTAAAGAGTCTAAGCAGCCACTGGATATGTGAGGAGATTGTCACATTTGTAAATAATTTGTTGAGATTAAGGAAGAAGAAGGCTGTAAATGGGCAACTTTTGCAGTGGATAAGGGAGGTTACCTCTGGCTTCCCACAGGAGTTTAAGCTTTCTCCTGGGTTGTTCCGGTGCTCATAGATGACATTGAAAAGGGACTGAAGCTGAGGTGGTACAGTGTGTACGTGATACTGAGACACCCAGGATATCAAGGCAAGGGCTGGCTGGAGAAGAACCTCACAAAACAGAGTGACTGCAAAATAAAACAGCAGAGGGAGTTCAGTGTGTCAGTAAAACGATGTACTTGGGGGAAAAAAAAACAATTGCAATGTATAAAATGACAGCCTCTGACTTGACCATTACTATGCAGTAACAAAATCTCAGAGTTATGACAGATAATTCTGTCAAAATTTCAGCTCAGTAGTGATAAAAAAAAAGAAAAAAAAAACCAAACAAATTTATTCCCTTTAGGAAAGCAAAAAAACCCAAAAACCACAAAAAACCGAAACACCACAAAAAAACCCCTCACCACTACACTGCTGAACAAATTTGTGTTGACGAGCCTACACAGTTCTGGTCCCCACCTGAGGAAGGACAGAGAACTCAGAAAGGGTCCCGAAGGAGCCACACAGGTGAGGAAAGGCTGCTTGGGTGGAACAAGTAGTACAGCTGGGGGAGAGCTCTGCAAAACCACCAGTTAAAGGCAGGGGATAAAAAGGAGTGTCTGCTCATAGCCCTTTCCAGCATAAGGTGCTCCCCAGGTGAACAGCAGGTAGCCGGTTCTGAACAAATAAAAGGTGGTTCTTGCACACAGCTTGTAATTAGGCCATGAGATTTCTTGCTGCGGGATACTGTGGGTGGTAAAAGTTCACAGGACTCGGAGGCTGTACGGGCTCGTGGAAGAGAAATCTACCAAGAGTTATTAAACATTTAGCAATCACTTCTCACTGATGAAATGCCTGAGCTACAAATTCTTGGAGGCCATGAGAGTATCTGTGAGAAATATCAGCATATGCTTGTTCTGGGGATTTTTGTAATCTCATGAATTCACTTTTGATCACTGTGGGAGACAGGACTCTGAGCTGTATGGACCTTTGCTCTGACCCAGTATGACCACTCCTGTGGTATCCAGTGGAGTTGTGATTGTACGTATTTGTAGAACAGAGATTTTTCTGGAGATTTGCAAGAAGATAAAACTACCTTGTGCTTTTATTTCTGTTTTTTCCTGATTCAAATACTGTAGGGGCATTCGGTGAAAGCAACTTCTTCTCAAATAAGGAATTGTGTGTTAACAAGAAGAAGAAATGCAGTATATTAGATGCTTCATCTTTCTTGTTCCTCATTGCTGGTGCAATTAGTTTGCATTTTCTCCACACCAGGGCTTGCAGTGTGGCACTAAATCACATTTAATCTCTTATGACCTTCTTTGGCAAGCTTGGTCCTGGAAGCTGTATTTGTCCCTGTAATTCCCTTGTTGTTTCTGCAGCTGATACAAACTCCATGACATTTTTAAAAGCACTTGTGTGTGTTTGACAAAAACAGAAGAATAAGATCCTTGCCTTAGAGTTGTCATTCAAAGGAGGACGTGCAGCTACAGAAAGAGTTGCTGTCTAGATGGTTTCTTATCTTGCAAGAACAGGTTGATCAGGGGCTCTTTTTTTTAAAAGCGAGTGAATGAAGTACAGGAGCATTGAGGGTGACAAAGAGGCTGCAATGAAATGACAAAGTCGTGTCAGAGCTTGGTTGAGTAATACAGTTACATGATGCACAGAGTGTAGTAAAAAGTGGCTTTATGTGTGTGATTGCACAGCACAATGCAATCCAAGCACGAGGATCCAGCTGGGTCCCAGAAGCGCTCTGTACCTGTGCTGGAATAGCACCTGTGGGTTTAGCAGCTCCTGCTGCCCAGCTGGGCTCTGGTGTATCTGCGTGGCCCGGCGTTTGCTGGGTGACACGAGGTCTGGTGAAAATCACTGGGGAGTGGTGTTGCTCATCCCAGCTCCGGACTCCAAGTATCCTATAATTTATGTTCCAAAGCTTCACAAGCACTTTTGAAAACTTTGAAAAGCTTTAGTGGCTCTCCCACTAGGAAATTATCCTAATATCAGGAATCAGGCAGTAGAGCTCCTGAATTATTATCCAGTCTGTTAGCTACCCTCTCCATCAGCACAGACATATGTTTTGCTGTAAATGTCCCCAGTCAGCGGCACTTTCACACGTGTCTACATCATTAACATTTGTGTCTATTTGTTTTAATCGTCACATCTGCTGCTATCCCCATCAGTTGCTACCATGTTGGCTTACAATGAGGTGCAGGCAAATTTGTTGCAGACCATTTGGAGAATTTTGAAGTCAGCTTCATTCTTTTTTAATACAAATGTTTTGGTTCCTTTACAGAGAGACATTTTTGTCCTTGGGGAATGTTTCAGTCTACCAGAGTGTACCATGCGCTGCCTCCATTGAGTAACTGTGTGACTCAGAGTGCATTCGCTTACAGCTAAGGCTCCCACAGCTTCTGGATCCTCAAAGCTGCAGGGTGAGTAAAGAGTACCCTGCGGCACTCTTCCTCCATTTGCACTGAGCTCCTCAGAGAACAAAGTCATCTGCACTTCTTGCTGGTGTGCTTACTCCTTCCCTACTGTGGTGCAAAGAACCATGCAAAGAACAGCTAATTAAAAAAAAACTTCCATGATCACAGCTCTTTAACTTGATTTACCATTAGGAGTTCTAGAAAACACTCTCTACAGAAGTGAATAATAAAAATTTGAGATGGAATGTAATCACAGTGACGTCACCAAAATGGAATTATTCTGCATGATGGATGTTGGTGATGCCACTTTCATTTTTGGGTAGTTACCCTTCTGAGCTCTCTCCTCACCTGGCAGCAGTTTTGACTGCCCAGTGTATCTGTCATGGTTGTGTGCAAGATATTTAGATCTAGTGGTTTCCTTAGCTATAGCATCCCACAGAGCTACATAATGCCAAATTACATACCTACGTGCTCAAGAGGCACCTTGAATGACACTGGCAAAAAAAGCTGGTCTCATGTTAGGGAAAGTAAAGATGAATCTTGCTGGTGATATTAGCATGTTCCAAGGTAATAGGCAGTTTTAAATAATCATTCTAACTTCATACTTCCTCATTTTAATGCCATCCTGCTAATTATCCAATATCAGATTCTATTGTTTCACCTTTATTAATGCCTTTCCCATATAATGAGCTATAGGGATACAATTTTCTGCCACCCCTGCCTTGATTTAGGTGACAAGGATACATAGGACCTCCTTAGCACAACTGAAAAACAGGATTTGCACTGGCATGCAAAATCTGGATGTCTCTGGCGAATAAGATGTCCTGATGCCTCTGAGACAGAACGAGCAATAAATGATTGACAGTAGGTAGGTAAGGACATGGGAGCTATTCTGTGGAGGCAGAAGCAGCCCAGCATCTTGGTAGGAAATATATTCTGTAATGAATCTTATTGCTCCTTTCCCAAGGAGTGATAATAGATGCTTCTCTCTTTTTTAATACATGGCCTGCATTCAGAGTCAGAGCAGGGTGTATCATACATCAAATCGGAGCTTGGCCTCTGAGTTGCCTTTTCCTGATCAAATTAGATGGGACTCTCATAACTAATTGAATGTTGTTCTTATTTATGAATGGTCATCTCTATTGTTTTAGACACTCATTAATTTTCCTTGGAGGACATTCCTAATGGATGGAGGATTGTTTCCAGTCACTATCAACAACACAATTAATATAGATTACAACATGCAGGTACAGTGAGACAGCAGCCCTGTGCTTATGTCCAAAGACATAAAGACAAGATGAATCTATGATGCGGGAGGAAAACAAGCTAACACTATCTTGTTTCCTGTCTTTGTTTTTTAAAGAACAGAAGTGAACAAAAAACATCTCCCCCTTTTCTATCCAAAGCCCATTTTACCATTTACTTCATGTTTGCCCTTTCTGCAAGCAGACCAGAGCATTTTTATTGATAATGAAGCTATACTTATAATTTTACTAGTGTGCTAGAACTAAAGAGTCAAATAGTTTTTATGCATGGTCATATGTGTTTTAGGACCGTAGTGCTAAAAGCTTGAAATCCATTTGTGTTTATAACATAAAACCCCCTGTGCTGATAGTTACCCGAGATTTGCTATTACTGGTGAAGCTCTCCGCATCAGACCTTCAGAGGCTCTCCCTTCCTCTCCAGCTGTGCCTGTGCAGCCTGAGTGATGCAGACTGAAGAGCTGCTCATGGGGAGCTGTTGGCAATGCAGTTTCCAATGGAGGATGTACTGCAGAACAGCTACGGCTGTGCTGAGGAAGATCATGCTGACTGTCAAGCCTCGTTAGCTAAGAGCAAGCAGGTACTTCTGACAACTCTGTTTGTTTGGGACTGTACGGCTTCTGTGTAGGATTCCCATTAGTTTTTGTAACCAAACCTCTGTCAACATAAGTGACCTAGACCTGAGGTATGCTGTAATAACCTCATCTACTCCTGGCCATCCGGTAAGAAGCAAAGGGAGCAATGTTGTCTCCTATAAATCCTGAGTGCTCTCAAGAGAAGCCCTAGTGATAGATGCCCCTTGAAGACCTCTTGGTATCACCAGAATTCTGGAGGAAACAGAGGCTGTCCTGACTTTTCCCCACATCCCACCGAAGGTCCAGCTTGCTCTTTATCAAGAGCCACACAGTGCAAAGGGGAAAGGAACAGCGTGGCTGCTGTCTAAAACCAAATCTAGTCAAGGAGAGGCAAGGTACTTCCAGGCTGTACTTCCCCGAGAACTTGCATTGTGGACATGTGTGTGAGGAATGGCTGCTGGGGGCACCTAAAGCCTGCCAGAAACTGCACAAAGATTTGGGTCGAGGAACGGGGAGAGGTTCAAACTGTTTGTGATGGAAAACAGATACACTGATCGATTTGTAAGGTAAAATGAGTGGAAAGGACAAATTTAGTTATTTTAAGGTCTGCTTCCTTCAAGATCTGATCTAAGAGTTTGATTTCTTTAACAGTACTTTTAGTAGAGACCAAGCAGAAAGCGATGCTGTTGAGGCGATTCACCTGAGGACAGCAGCAATAAAACAAAGCATTTAACTTCCATGCAATTTTATCCCCATCTCTCCTATATGTGAGTATTCATTGCAATCAAAAAGTCGCCCCTTTTTTTTCTGTACTGTGCTCTGAAGGACACTGGTGTAAGGCCTCATTGCCAGTTCTGATTGCGCAATAGCCTGTAGCATGTCTCATCTCACTGTATATTTCATGAGATGCTATTAAGCAAAGAAAATAACGTGAAAAGCTTGTCATAGCTTTTTGAAGCAAAATATTTCCCTGTGACTTCCAGCAGAATTTGGCCGAAGCAGTTGACTCAAGTGCTAACTGGTTGCAGAACAGCAAAAAGATGTGCAAAGTTTTGCTGAGGCATCATGATCCAGTCGTATCACTTAACTTGATAAGATCTTTTCTGATACTATGGAAGCAAATAGAAATATTAAAGGCAAAATGGGGACAGCTCAAGCTGAGGATTGAGGACATCAATACAGTGCCTCTCTACAAAGAGTTTTGTGAGCAATATGGGTAAGTTACCTTGGATGCAAGAATATTCTGGAGTGACTGAAAACATGAAAAATAAGAAAAGTCCCTGACTTCTCCATCCATTTTCCTCCTGTTCCCCTCTTTCACTTGCCTTTTTTTTTCATTTCTACCTTTATTTTTGCTTGCAATTTACCTAGTACTTTCGCTTTTCTCTAAAGGCTTGAGAGCTACCTTTTGTTTCTTTGTTTCAGTGTGGTTGTTTTTTCCCGTCTTTCAATGTCTATTCAGACTGTTTGCTGATGATGTTTTCCAAGTGCATTCTTCTCAATCGTGTGACCTGCCTCCATATTTCAGGCTCCATAAACAATGTTAAATATAGTACTTGAATAAATGGAAATTTTGGAAGCCTGTTAGATTAATTGTAGCAGAATTCTTTCTAACCCTCCTACTCGGCTCAACTTCGAGCAGTCAAGATTAGAAAATTGGAAGACTTTCGTCAGAGAGGCCCTTCTGAAAGCAGAAAATTGAACATCTTTTTTTTTAAAAAGTCTTGTCCCTGGAAACCACAAGAAAGGAAGTGAAAGAGCAAGATGACACAGTAAGGGTGAAATCTGTGCACGAAGGCACTGGAAAACACTGTTGTCATCCAACAGGGCATGGAGGAAGCAAAGCTCAGTGGGCCTGTCCCTGCAAGAACAAGGCATCTTAGATTGGCAAGTCTGAATCTGCACACAAAATTTGTGTGTGTGTAAAGAGCTGGTATCAGATTTACTCCATTCTGGTCCCCATTTATCTGTATCCCAATGTTACCTCCCATGCATTACTGCCAGATTGGAGGGGGCATAGTTCAACACTTGGGACTCACAGTCTTTGCCCCTAATTTATGAGCTCTGCTGAGGGAGGAGCTCCTGGGCAAAATCTCCATGCAGAGCAAGCAACAGCTTGTGCTTCCACCATGGGTCTGTGTGGCTGTGGGGGAGCCCCAGGGGCTTTACCGTCTCCCAGCCCCTACAGATCCAGAGCTATCTTGTGGTGATGCCTGAGATCAGGCTTATCAGTTATTGCCTCCTGGGAGGAGAGGTGAGCTCCTTGCCCTTGGCTTTGCTTACGCTGGCCTTTGGGCAGGAGGAGATTCTGTAGCCGCACCTGCAACAGCTCTTTCCTAGCAGGAAATCTGCCAAATGCACTATACCCAAAAATCCTCCCTGTCCCCACCCATCCCTCTCCACAAATAAGAAAAGAGCTCCCTACTTCCCTCCCTGAGCTCTGTGCTAACCTTTGTGTCATGCCATCAAGGGTTTAAAAGGCAGTGTGATTAAAGCAATAAAATGTAAGGAGGTATATATGCCTTGCTAATGGTTCCTCTGCTTCTAAGAGCAAAGTGGGTGTCTGCCTTGGCACTTAGCACTCCGAAGCACTTAGCAAACCCATGATCAGATACAAAGCAGAGCAGGGGGAGGAGGTGGAGGGAGTTTCTTGGTTTATTTGAACAACAGTGATACTGACAAGTTCTTACTGGTGACCAGATTTCCCTGCTTTATCTAGTTGACCCCTTTTTCCTTCCCCTAGGTTTTAGTTTTGTATTATTATAAACTTGGAGAAATTACTGAACTATGTAATAAGGCAGGACCAGTGAAGTAGTGAAGAAGAGACTGTCCTGTCCCGCTTGCAGGTCAAGTGGGGCTAATGTAGTGAGCTGAGACTTAATCATATTCTGCATGGGTTAGGAACAGAGGCAGGGGAAGAAAAAAGGAAAGCGAAGGTCCAAGGTCAGTAAATGCATACCCAGTAATCTTGAGAGAGAATGTGTGAAATACCCATGTCCTGGTAATTCTAATTTGGCTATCCTGTACCCAGCCATGAAAGCCATAGTCAGACAAATGGGCACAGAGGCGTTTGGAGAGCCCATTACAAGCACACAGCATATACTTCCCCCCCAGAGGAGCATCAGAAATTGAAATGAAAGTGTACCAGGTAAGGGGAAGGTTATTGGTGGGGCATTGCAGGTGTTGCAGTTTCATGTTTTCCTGCAATTTCTGATAAGTGAAGTCCAGCGGGGTCCAGTGGAGGCTGTTGTGGGGGAAAGTTTGACAGATGTGTGTGACCAGGGAGGCTCTGCAATGGCACTTCTGCTGTATGGAGCCAGGTGTGGGTCCTGGGACAGCCCAGAGCAACAGGAGAACCTGCCTCCACCCAGAGACTTTGTGGCACAGCACTAGGCATACTCCTAAATGATATTAACCTTGATGCTGTATCTGACAGTCCTGTATTTTAGAGAAGAATGGGAAGAGAATTGCTTTGGTTTAGTCTGCTGGTTTTTGCTGGTTGTCAAGTTGCTTTATAAGCAGTAGGGAGATTTAGTAAGAGCTAAGTATTATACTTGATTCTAGCTTCAAAAGCTTCTGGAAAGCCTAGAAATCCACATGATCCATAACGTGCAGAAGAAAATTAACCAGGAGGTGACTCTAGTGACATCTGAAAGAGACAGACAAGAGAAGTCTCCCCACTGGTAAGGAGAATTAAAATACCCATCCTGGGAAATACGGGAGCCCCAATCTTGAGTGGGAAAAGTAGCCTTGATGCATAAAGGCAGCAAAGAGTTGTCCTGTATATAAGCAGGAGAGCACATTTGCCCTCAGCTTCCCATTTCCCCCTGCGCCCATTTGGAGGCCAGGGACCAGCTGAATCGTGGGGAAGGTATCACTGACAAAAAATGGCTTACCCTCAGGAAACTCTCTTCCGTTTTGGAGAGCCCATTGTGAGAAATTCCAGAAATACATCTATCAGGAAGAATTGTATACCGAGATACCATACACCTTTCTGCATGGACCGGCCTGTTCAACAGATTCAAATTCCCTAAACTGAAGAGTTCACTTTCTCTTTATAGAATTAATGTTTAGCCATAATCATTGCAAAGACAATTGTGCAAACGAGGCTGACCACTAATTACTCTGGAGTTTGCAGGCAGCCTGAAACAGACTGATGGGAAATTACTTCTCTACTCCTCCATGTTGGAGTGTTAATATTTTAGGCCTAGCAGTGCAATTTAAATCCCAGACTTTCTAGTACGTTCAATGTTTACTTGGTACAATTACTGCATGGGTATGGGCAATTTGGGTATTCACAGGCACAAATAGTAAAACAAAGGAAAAGTAGAAATAAAAGGGAAGAAACATGTGCCCTGTTGCTGCTGGTTGTGGTTGCAGGCAGCAATCATTAGTGCACAGAAATGTTTGATTTCATACGAAAGCCATATTCTTCACTCAATATTTACAGAAAACTGCAATACACAATTGTGGGCTAGGTCATTATTGACAGAGCTGGTCTATAATGAAATTACATTTTGGCTTTGATACCAGAACGGATTTTATATTGCTGCTCAACACAAGCTTTGCAATCTGTTTGCAACAACATTTACTTTTTGTTGTAAACATTTTAGGAAAGCTGAGAAACCCTATGCTATGAAACATACCCAGTGTCAAGTCCCAGGGATTACTGAAGGATCAATATTTTGTGACAGTGATACCTACTGACGTGTGGTTTTATTCCGATTTTTCTTTTCTCCCTCTGTTCCTGCAGAGCTCTGGAAACACAGGGTAATGCAAGAAAATTTCTCAGTTGTTCGACCACAGATCGTTGAAAAATTTGTTCAAAGGCTGATGGAAAACTACCAAGAATCAGATACAGAGGTACATATTCTGCATTTCTATCTAAGCAACAGTTAAATCATGTTTACAGCTTTATTTATTAAAGCTCTTGTCAATCACTGACCTAAAAGAGAAGCACATTTTTTAAGTTCACAGCTTAGATTCAGATTATGTTGGTTTGTAATAGCAGCGTCGGCAGCAAACGTGTATTGCCCTACTGCCTTCTGATGGGTTTATTTCATCTCTCAGGACTGCAATAATGTGAAGATGAGTCAGGGTTGGAGGTTTATATGCAACCGCAATGCAGGATTGCAGGACTTTCACAGATTCAGGAGTGGGAACTCTTCTTCGTGGGTCATTGCTAGATCAGGAGTCCAGCATGATGTTAGGAAGCAGTTTTATAGGGTTTTTGGGTTTTTTCCAGTGAAATTTAAAGAAAATATTTATAAAAATATGACCACTTCTCATTAAAAACACAAAACATTTTTTTGAGAGAAGGGATTTGGGGCCCAACTGCAATTGAGGCAGTTGCTGAGCTGGTGATTTCTTTTCTCTACTGAAAATTGTCTTTTAGCTTCAGATGGAAAAAAATACATTATATAGTTGCAGCTAGAACCAGTCAAAAACTGATAAATCTGTTTTCCATCAGTGCAGTGAAATTGTAGATTGGGCAAAAACATTTATATTGAATTGTTTTATTTTTGCTTCATTTTGATATCACAGGAGCATTTAATTTTATAATAAGGCGACCACGTTTCATTTTGACATATGTTGTATATAGCAACTCTTGTGATTCAGGCTACCTGCAAGGTTTCTTATTTTGTTTTCCTAGGTTACTTTAAAAAAAAGCCATTTACAACAGTGTCTCACTATACTGGGCTGTGACATCATGGCCAGAGAGCACAGCAACTTTGAGAACTACTCCATGTTTTATGAAAATATTCTCCAGCAGCAGCATCGTCTACTTTACCTAAAAGAACAAGTATGATGAGAGCATTGATTCTGTTCTTCAAGAACAGGGGAAGGTGGTTTATTTGGGTAGGAGGCAGTTGCTAAGTAAAAAATAAAGTCAAGCTGTCAGGCTGGGAAGTTGCTAAGTAGAGTTGGGCTACAGCATAGTTACTGTGCATCTTTGTGCTTTGCCTCAGGAGCTGCACGCAGTGGAAGAAGGTGGCAACCAAAGTGATATGGTGAAATACTAGGGCCTGAGCAGTGAGGCCCTGACAATATGATAACAACCTAACAATATATCTAATATGTATAATATTGATCACATATGTAAATATATAACCTTATGAATATATGCCAATTTATAAAAGCTTTTGTTGTAACACTTATAGAGAATTGCTGTGACACTTGCTGTAAGATAATAGTTGTGTAACGGTAGCCCCACTTGCCAAAGAGAGATAAACCTATCTCAAACCTTCAAACAGACCTCTACGTGACAGAAGGTAGCAGGGCGGTGACAGGCTTTGTTTAAAGACGCATAGTCAAAGATAACCAGACACCTTTACTTCTTCTTAACCTTTTCTCGGGCTCTGGCCAAGCACGGGAAAAACTTAACAAGGAAGAAAAAAAAAAACTATGCCAGATGTTTCAGATGTTTTTCGCAGCTTAAGATATAAAGTTGTTCATTTAACTGTATAAAAGCAGGGACCGTTTGCAGGGAAATTTGGAAGCCTCCTCTATACAGTGGACACACCATATAGAGATTTCCCTGTTGCCGGGATGAGTTCTCCAAATCCTTCCCTGTAAACGGGCTCCCCAGCATCTGTGGATCTGGATGATGGTAATACAGGGCAAGTGGTGATGTATCTTTCTTAATCACTATCGCTAACTCTATGTAGTAATGATTAGGTGCATTACCTTATTTTTGTGCTTGCTATAGTAGTTTGCTTGGTGTCTTGCTGCTTTACCTTATCTTGCTTTATTTTTTCTGTACTATTTTCCTTATTACTTTGTCATTTTGGACATAAGTAAAAATAAGTTTACTTTTTTTTTGGTGCCTGTGTCCTCTGTGCTGTCCCCGTTGATTGGCAAAACATATGGCTCTGACACAGGTTGGTGATGATGGTCTATCAACTGGTAGTACTTAGTGGTCTCATTTGGACAGAGTCCCACTGGGTAGACACATGGTGACAGTCTTTGAGAAGAAAGGTAGGGTGATGCTGGGGCCACTGTTTCTGTGCTCAATGCCCAAAGTCATGCCAGAAGGACTAGTAAAATAAAGATAACCTGAAGGCAAAAGTAGTGGCCTGCTGTTCTGTGGCTCATATTCACAATGGAAGATACAGTGGTAACCTTCTAACTTAAACTTCTACGGGCAGGTCTCCCTACACAAGGCAACTCAATCTTGTGCATTGAGTGACATAGGAAAAAGAAGTGGATCAGGCAGGTAGGCCGTGTTGCCGTGTGGGTACCAGTTATGTACATCATGGATGCATAACCAACTCCTCTTAAGTTCTGAGTACTTGACTTTGCAGCTTCAGCTGGTTTTTTAGAATAGCTGGTATGTGTGGGTGGAATTTTTTAAAGAAGTAAACCCAGCCAATAAATCAGAAATTACATCTTGTGGAATCATGTGATAGCCATGTAATCTACGAGCTGACTTGGAGACTTGGCACCATCAACACAAACTCTTCTGCTAGAGGCATGTCAGCTTCTACAGAAACCTACACTATGGAGAAGACTGCTTGGCTTTCAGGGATGTTTGCACGACAGCGTTGGAATACCTGCATTTTGCATTTCATTCCTGAGGTCCCTTTCTCATCTGTCCTCATCACTGACTGCAAGATTTCAGTTCTTCTTTGGGCTTCTTATCAGTTTCTTGCCCCATTTTCTCATGTTCTTTCCAGTTTTTCGCCCCTATATCCTTTTCTGTACAGTGTCTCGTCAGCAGCCTCCCTTCTTCCCCAGTTTCACTGTCCTGTCCATATGTTTTGGAAGGCTGGAGTGAGCAAGAAAATGAGAAACGTGTGAGTTTTCAACTGGGTGGAAAAATGCAGGAGGAGTCAGCAGGACCTTCTAGGAGCCTGTGGGCAGTGGAGTCTCTCCCCCCCTCCACTTTGCTAGCCCATCACCGCCAAATCCCTGTCTCATCTTGGTTGTACTTGAAGGAAGTGGCCCAGGGTGGCCAGCTGCCTACTGTCTCTGGGCTCTGCTTCAACCTCAGAAGAGACTTCCTGCTCCCAGTTCCATTTCTCACTAGAGTAAAGCGATTAACAGAGGCTATCGCAATGCTGAAGAGAGAGCTCAATCGCTCAGTGGATGTGTTAGAAACCATGAGAAATGTTCAGGCATGATCCAGCCAAAATGGGTTGGCAGAGAGTTTAAGAAGTCTCCAAGGAACATATATGAACCATGTGTTGTTTTTTTTTTTTCTCCATCAAAATCTTAGGATTAGACCAACATTTTGCTGACTTTACAAAAAAGACACCTCAACAGAGTAAGTGCAGCTCTGAATAAAGATCACCAGAATTTTTCAGCAGGGCTCAAATACATGGATTTTTCACCAACATTCATTTTCAGAAGTCTCTCACTAATGTTTGCTGTAAGACAGAAAAATTGACACAGACAACTTCAGCGAGAACCCAGTGAAATTATGAGCATTTACTACTTAGATCTGGTATGCAGAGGTGCCAGGCAACCTTGAAAGCAGACTGTGCTGTTGGCTATGCCTACAGTTTGCAGTTGTGCCTACTTCTTATCTGAATAACGTAATATGCTAAGAATTATTTTTAGCCTTCCTCCATTGTGTTCATCTGGTTGCAAATGCTGTTCAGTGGTATGAAAATGACCAAATGTTTATACCTAGCAATGACCTACCTACGTGAAATTTAAATTCTGTCCTTTAAATCTTTTCAAGTTCTATCATGTACCTTCCTATCTGTGCTAACCTGGGTGCCCTTTCTGAGGGTATGTTAATTGTCAAATATCAACAAATGGAACACATAATTGTTTTTATCATATATTAAATGGTCTGTATGTACAACCTTATCAGCAGACAGCATACTTGCTCCGATAAATGCATTACCTCACAGCTTACAGAATGAAGCATGGTCACAATTCTTCTGATTTTCTCTCTGGAGGCTGGGGAGATTATGCTACAGGAGGCCAGCCTCACTGACAGAGAGCCACGCAGCACAGTATCTTCTCCTAAAATCAGATTCCCTGATCCCTAATTCTTCTGCTCCCCTGTTCTCCACACACATTTCCTTCTGTCAGTTCATACCTATTAGTGAGGAGATCTTTCTTTCCTGATGACCAGAAACAGACTTGTTAAGGTTATATATGAAACTTCTGCATTTGCCCCCTTCAAATATTGGCTGTGAACTGCCACCATTCTTCCTACTCTTTCCAGGGAACAAATGTTTCTAAAACCAACAGAGATGTACAAAATGGATTATTCCGTATCATCAATGGATTATTTTCATCAGGCCACTCAGTTAGGAAGATACTCTTGCTCTACTTAATTAGATTTCATGCAACATATTCAGAGCTCTGGATCATTTACTCCTAGGCTATGGTGTTTGCTCATCCCTAGCTTTGCTCATTCACTTTCTCTGCTGTAATAGATTGTGGGGCTGTGCCATGGGATGATTATGGAAATAACAGCTCTCAGAGCCCAGCTGACTGATTTAGAGGAAGAAAATCTTGGTCTCAAAGAGAAGATTAGAAAAAACACACAGGATGAATATGAATCATTAGTGTGGAACCTGTTTGTGACTTTTGTCCATCTAAACGTAGGTACAGAATAAGAGGGGATACTCAATCAGTCTTTTTCTGTGCTGCTGTATAATTTGCCAACAAGTGTAGCACTCAAAGAAATAAATTGCTGCAGTGTGCCAGGTGGGTGAATGGGTGAATCATTTATCTCCTGCTGCTAGAAGCATCTTGTAAAAAGTCTGGTAGAAAAATAGCGTACCTTTTCCAAAAGAAGAGGCGTACTCTCGATGGAACAGGTACCACATTAGAGAGAGTAATGGAAGATCTTTTTGGTTACAATGGAAGGAACTTTTTGTATATAATACTTCAGTTTGTAATATACTGCACTATTTATCTTCAAAACTTTATATCCACTGTGTAATTGTATTGCTCACTTGACCAATGCCTTTGTTCTCAAGTAGTCCACTGATTTCTTTGGGGTGACATATGTCATTACTTACAAAAATAACATACTCCAATCTAGCCTGTAAAAACTGACCTGATTGTGACCGTGTGTATTACAGAGCAACTGCCTACATCACATCCACAGGGTTTTGACTGATGGTCCACAAGCCCATTAATGTCTGTGGCCAGGGCAATAGTGACTTAAGGAATATTGTGATTTCTTTTGCAATCCTGAGGGTGAGTCCAGTTTTCACCAGAAAGCCTGTTCTTTCACCATGGTGCTGCTCCTTTCACTAAATACATACATGCCAGGATTGCCAATAGGTGGCCTGCAAAATTATACAATTGAAATTCCTCTACTTGTAGTACCTGGATGCAAGAATAATATTGCTCTGTCTTCCTGATACATTGATTCTAGCAAAGTAATTATGGAGAAAGACCATCTGGTTGTAGTTGAGAGATTTTTTAAATCTTCTGAATGTTGCTTTCCCATATGTACACACTTCATCTCTTATGGGTTCTGTTTGTAATTGTAGGGATATCGCCCTAGCATTGAGCAACAAGTGTTTGAAATCATCAGTGAAGTGAGAAGAGAAGGAGGTAACAATGTGATTGATATGAAGAAAAAGGGTGGCTCCACTAAAAATAATGGTGACTTGAAAGAACATTTATCTAAAGTAAGGAAATACATATGCGTGTCAGTAAATGAACAGAAGGATAATATCCTGGTTAAGCTTGCTGAAGATGGCTTAAGTTACTGCATTCTATCTGGGACATTGGTTGGGTGAAGGGCCTGGAGGTGGTCCATCACTAGGCTCTAATGGCTACTCATTTGTCAGGCTGTTATGAATCATTCATCTTTGACTGTGTGTTTATTCTCCAGGTGTGGAAATTTTGGGCCACACCCATACCTTAGACCCTGAATAACTACATATATTTGGATTTAATTTGGTTCTAAACTTAGGAACTCTGCTTTCAGCCTGTTCTGAGTGAAACTAACACCATGCTTTGTACAAAGGTGAACATCAGAGAGGTTGAACTTGGATCTGAAGACGTATACATGTGAACTCACATTCCATCATATGTCAGCATTGTCATGTGTTGTCATTGTCCCTTTTTTGGGCAAGGGAAGGAGAATGTGATGTTTCAGTGACCCTGATAAATATGTTGATGTGAGTTTTATCTTCTTGTCATGCAAGCTGGTCACATAAAAGAATGGGGACACAAATCCTTTTTTTCACTTGGGGTTACTTAGAATCAAAAATATATTCAGCTCTACGTTTTGAAAAAGTGCCCCCAAAACTTATGTTCTGGGAGTTACAAACTAAAGCATGGAAAGTAATTTCTAGACTACAGTTTCCAAATCAATCCCTTTTCTTTTTCTTTTAGTCAATCCCTTTTAGTCAAACATATTCCTCCTCAGCAAGGTTCAATTTGTACTAAAATTATGGTAGTCAGTCGGTGAATACAAATGGGATCAAATGGATAATGGCTAAATACTTCTGTCTAAAGCAAATATGCCTGCAGATCTCTCAAGCAGAGAAGCTTGTGAAGCAGGATATAAGTGTAATGCCAACAGAGTGAAAGGGCTTTCAACACCCCCAATGAATCTGGGGGATAGCAACACCCAGAAGTAAATGAGGAACCAGTGGAAATGGAGGAGGTCCGTGAAGCCTGTAGGGAGACTTCCACATGCCCAGTTGGAAAGGACAGTGTCCCGAGGCAGTGAACAAGGAGAGTCGGGAGCTCACGTGCAGTCAAAGGGCTGTGGTCTGAGCAGAGTCATGGGAACTTGGGGGGCCGGTGCACGGCATGGGTGGTTACAGGGTGTTTTAGGAGGATCAGCAAGGAAGACGAGGAGTGAGACCTGCACTTTGTGTAAGGCGTTCATTCCCTGCAGAGAGCTCATGTATGAATGTGGAGAGGTACTACTGAAGGCCTATGAGTCAAGGTCAGAGGAGGGAGGAGCGTTAGTGATGATGACTGCAGTGGGGAGCCTGTTACAGACAAGAGGCAAGAGAATAAATTGGATGGACCTGTCTATAGAGAACTAAGAAAAGTGGTTTTGCTTTGAGGCCTTTGTTTTTGTGAAGGTTTTGTCCATCTGGAAATCTACTGTAAGGGAACACAGCATTGTGAAAGCCTAGGCAGTTCCTAGACAGCCTTAGTGGTAATACCCTAAAAGCAAATGCTAGAGGAGCCAGCCACAGTAAATCTCTACTTCTGCTGCTCACAAACAGAGAAAAACTGGTGGTGAGTGTCCTCTGAGGCTGCAGTGACTATGAAATGATTTCAGGATCAGGAGAAAGGTTGCAAAATTATGCTGCAGAGCTAAGACTTGGGACTTCAGGAGAGCAGGCTGTGACTTATTTAGGGAATTGCTAGGCAGAATCCCTGGGAAACTGCCAAGAGGGGAAAAGCGCCGAGGAAGGCCGGTTGATTTTTAAAGAAAACTTAAAGAGATTTCTAAACCAACTACCTGGTTACACAAGAAGACCAGGGAGTTTAGTAGAAACCTGGCCCCACTTGCCTTAGCAAGGAGTTTCTTAAAGGACTAAAATACAAAAAGAAATGTTGCAAGTAGTCGAAATATGGACAGGCAACAAAGGTAGAGTATCAGAGTTCAAACCAATAGTGATGAAATTAGGAAGGCCAAAGCCCAGCTGTAGCTAATACAGGACACAAAGGGTACAAAGGTGAGTTGACACTGAATGGTAGAGCTTCAGTGCAGAGACACCTCTGCCAGGAGGGCCAGGACCTCCATCTGTCCTCGGTAACTCTTGTTTATATGTTCATTTTCTGCATAATGAAATTGCTTTCCTCTGCCCTAAGAACAGTTTTCAGGAGGAAGACTGCTATTTTGAACAAAGAAGAAAAAACACTTATGACTATACTTTGCGTGAATCCACTAATTTTGTTCTTAATAAGGACATCGTAATTAGGGTGAACCAGGTTACTGAATATGGTGTGAACCAGAATCCCCATTTGGCATAATAGGGTTTATCACCATTAACAGTGCTTCATTTCAGAGGGGCTTACCTGCTTGCTGTTTTGGATTAAATTTCTTCCATTTTTTCCCAGTTTCTGGGCAATGTTCATATTTCCTGTTTCCCTGGAGACACAGTAATAGAAATTTATTGCCAAAGGCTGCACTGTTTCAAACTGCAAAGTATTTGAAAATTAAAATGAAATACAAATAGTTGCATGCTTTTACAATTGTATTTACTTCCAAACCACACGTTTCTTCCTGGGGAAAGTAATCTTTGTGGGTCTACTCTTATTGATGTCTTCTTTAGCAGGAACAGCTGCAGCTCTTGCGTGATGAAAATATGAGGCTAAGCAAGCTGGTGGGTAAGCTAACGGCTCTGAACTGTTGGAAGCGAACTACTCAGAAGGCACAACTCTTTGCAAAGCTGAGAGATGCTGAGAAGGTGATATTTCCCTACCATTTCATCTGTTATTACCATCTAATTTTCTGCAAAACTAATGGTCAGATTGGGCAGGCTCACTATTATTCAGTGAGCCTACAGGAACTGCAGATTTTAGGTAAAAATTCTAAAACTTTTCCCCTCTCTATTATGGGTATAATGGTGGTCTTCAAATGTGAAGAGCATGAAACAAATCCCTGATGCTTCCTTGAAGCAAGAGTTTAGGAAGTATGAGTAGCCTATAGTATTCTTAACTCTGTTGTTGACTCAGAAATCTAATTATGACATAGTATACAAAAATAAACTATTTCACAACTGACCAAAACACATGAAAAAGAAGACAGGCAGACATGGAGTGAAAATGAACTAGATTGTTGGCTCAGGAGGTGGCTGAAGTTTTTTGTTTTTTAAATTGGTACCTGCTTAAACAAAGCAGAACACAGCATGAGGTTTATAAATTTAATTTCAGAAATACAAGATGAAGCACAAAAATTACTAAATTAAACTACAGTGGAGATGGATGGAAAGAAAAGTGCCTCAGTGCTTTAAATGAGGCTGATTAGAATGGAACAAACAGGTTACTGATTGTTATATACATTAATTAGCTGCACATGTCAAGCAAAGGAAAGGCAGAATAGATCATATTTGTTAACTTAAAAAGAGTGAAAACAAAATGGTTTTTGTGTGCTTGTTAATTTTAAACCCAAATAAAACCGGATGTGCATACACTTAGTTCCATTATATCAGGGAGGTGCTAAATCATTAGAATATTTTGTTAAAAGATCAGTCAAAGATGGATTGAATTATTGGAAATTTGTGGATATAATAAGAAATAAGAGCTATCTTCACAGGATTTAAAATAAAAGTCCAAAACTGAGAAAAATAAATGGGAAAATTTGGCTTTTTAAAATTAGAAACTAGCTCATCTTGCTCAGACAGAGCTTTCTTGTGTCTGACTTTGGAATGATCCTGAAGGTCTAAGAACTTGTATTTCACTGTCCGCAACTCCAAGTGCAGAGGATCCTGGACTTTGCTTTTTCCATTTTAAATGGCTGGGAAAGGAGAGAGGGCTGCTAAATCTGTGCCTGACATAGTATCGTGTATATACATACACATTTATGTTTGTGTTTAAAACAAACAAAAAGACCTTGCCCAGAAGGAAAACAAGCTGCATCACACACATTTTTACTTTAGAGATAATGAAGAAATAAATAGATTAGTAGATGGACAGGTATTTCTAATGCATAAGAAAGATCAAGTTTTGCATTGCTCTGAGTTCGTTTGCACACAAGAACTTGAATTGCTGACATGTGAATATAATTAAAGATGTGCAGTTGTACCCATACGAAGTATTATCTTACATTTTCCCCTTTACAGGACCTGTCTTGTCCATCCTGTTCCTCACTTTGCCTTAAAAAAAGGTCCAGCTTTTGTCAGAAAATAGGAACAATTCAATCCACTTTACTAAAAATCCAAGGGATTTACCTTTCATGAAACCCACTGCTATATAAAAAAGAGAAAAATCACTGCTCTCATCATTTCTTCTCATATGTACTTTTTGTTTACAGGAAGCTCTGCAAAACAAAAAAGAGTGTCTGAATGCTAAGATGATGGCAGAACAAGAGGTGACTTTGTTTCAGGGTCTGTGAGGAAAGCTCTTGCAAAATCTCAAGCAGACAATGACAAACTAAAGAAGCCGCTACACAAACAGGTATCTGAATTCAACAGGTCCTGATTCATCAGCACAAGCTGAATTCTCTCCATCTCACTTGCTTTAATGAGGATTTTTGCCTACTGTTATTTTAGGTGATAAATGTATGCAAAACCAACTGCATAATACACTTAAGCTGGATGGGTATTTTATGGCATTGAAACAGTGTGTGTCTGACTTTTCACCACTGTAGGTAGAGAGAACTAGGAAAAAAAATGTAGCATCATGGATCAAGTTTGAGTCATGTACCAAAGTGACAGCTACAGGCACTATGTTTATGTATGCCATCAACTGTGCTGGATGTGTTTTAGTAGAGGAAAAGACACTATGAATATTTTATTCCACAGACAAAAAAAAAAAAAAATTACACATCTTGAGGTTATTAGTCTTCCACCCAATCATTAAATTTCAAGGAAACATTCAGGGAGGTTGTCATTAAATCCAGACCAAATTCATTTCATGGTTTTTTTTTTTTCCATCTGAACACCTTCATGGATATATCGCTGCCACAAGAAGTTTCCTTTCACTTCTACACATGGCTACACATGCTGAAATGGCTCATTCCTCAAGGTCAAACTGGAAAGCACACCCTTCACTTGCAATATACTTAATGCCGGGCAACACAATTGTATGGAAAACAAGTCTTGTCAAACCAACCTAATTTCATTCCACTGATGAGATTACAAGTTAGACAGATAAATATAATGCTAGAAATCTAATCCATATTTGGAAGGGCCTTGTAATGCTTGGATTAGCAGCACATAACTTTTGTATTTTAAATTTTAGTATGACACAATATCAATAAATATGCTAAATGGATTGAGAGCTAGATGTTTTTTGACATATAAAAATGTGTCCTTTTTATTAAACGAAGATTGTTTCTGATGGATTTCTACAGGGGTTGGTAGCAGAACTATCAGTATTCAACATTTTTGTCAGTTGCCTGGAAATAAATACAAAATTCTAGATTATAAAATCTACCAATGACATATTTGGGGAGGAATGTTAGTGAATTTGATAAGGCACATTTCATGAGTAATGATGTGGGCAGAGCAGCAGTACAGAATCATACAGATAGCTCAGTAACTTGGTTATCCCTCCGAGAAGTATTTCAGTGCCTGAGTAGACAAACAATGAGAAGAAAGTAGGAATCCTACAGAATGGGGTGACTGCGTCCCTGGACAGGGGTTGTAACAGTCAGATGACTGATCATACAGCGTGGTACTGGAAAAGATGGATGCTCAATCTCTTAATTTATAAAAAAGAGAATAACTCAGGTATATTAAAAATTAGTTTGTAGCTCTATGTACAACACACTGAAATACTGCCACTGGTTCCAGAGTGTACTACTTTAAAAAGCTGAAGAAAAATTGAGAGAGTGCAGAGTTACAAAAATGATGTAGGGCTGCAGGAAATGCTTTCCAGCAGAAGACTCTTAAAAGGCTTAATCTGTTCAGCCTATCTGAAAAAAGAGTGTCTTGATTACAGTCTACAGATATTTTTGTTGGGAGAGAATAGCAGATATTAAAGGGTTTCTCAGGGAAACCTCTCTGTAATAAGAGGTGGTGCCTAGAAGTTGAGGGCAGACAAACTGAAAATGGGTAATGAGAAAAAAAAAAAGTGTTCAAAATGTGCTTTACCGTGGAAATGACAATATGTCTCACCAAGTATCTTCAAGTCAAGACCGGATGCCTTTCTGGGAAACACAGTTTAGGCAAACCAACTTGCTTATTCCAGTGCAAGGGTAATTAAGGTAAATGTGATATTAAAAAGTCACATTTGATGGCTCCATTGCTCCATTCTGAGCTTATCAGTCTCTGAAACTCCAACCTTAGTAAGGCTTAGAGACCTCCCCAATGAAAAATGTTTGGGCTGTGACTACTTTTAGCTCTTTGTGTTCTGATTTTTCACCAGAGTGAAGTTGCCTTTAGCCGATAAATTGGTTTTCTTCACTGATGAGCTGTCAATTTATTTCTAAAAGACCCACTGCATCTACCACCTTTCTAGCAGCTGTTGCTGTTGTTTTTCTTTGGTTTCTGACATCAGTTTCTGGTTCTTTCTCTTCTTCCTAATTTCTTTCCTTAGTACACATTGTGATGATGGTGTTTACAAACAGCAGACTCCATTCCACAACCCTTGGCCATACAAGGGGGTTTGACCTGACATGGGTGGCTTGTATGAATCTGTGGTACAGAATCTAAAATATAGCCGTGCTTACTGGCTGTCTCTACAAACCTTGTGAACAGCAATGTTTGAAAAAGCTGTGCTCATTTCCCCCCTCTCTTTCCTTGTTTATATGTTGTTTTAAAAACAAGTTCCACATGCAGACCAGAGGCTGGTTGCAGAAAGCAAATTACAGCAGATTGAGGAAATTGGAAGCAACTGCCTTCTTGTTTATTTGCAACCGAATGAGTTCTACACATAAATGTTGTTTTGAGGCTTCTCTCTTTAACAAGCAATCATGTAAATACAGTGTTCTGTTCCCACTCCCTCTTACCCTTCTCTTGCGCTCCTTGTTCCCACAAACCAGATTTTATTTTGGCTTTAGGTCTGACTGTGGTCCTTTCATAAGACCAACATTTCATTATCTTCAGTACCAAACCATGTGGGACTGGGTCTCTCCTCATTCATCTCAGCTGGACATGACATCTGAGGACTTGTCATCAGGATTTAAAAGGAAATCTAGAAAAGGTGTATATGGGAACTGGGGGAAAGCAATCCAAGCCTGAAACTTTAATAATCTTATGTTGCAGAAACAAATGCTGGTGGAAGTAGTACAGAGCAGGACACAAGAAGCCAAGAAGAGAGAAATACTCAGTGCAATAAAAGCTGAAAACATAGAGAAGATGCTTAAAGAGATGCAAGAAAAAGAGCAAAGAATAAAATGCCTGACTAAGGAAGATAAAAAATCTTCTGAAACATCCTGTCTTCAACAAAAAGTGGTCAAAAAAGAAATGAAGCAGGTAAACTCATAATGCAGATTAGAAAAACAGAAGCAGTAGCATTTCTGGAGAGATGTCTCAAGTTTTAATGTTGTCTGACCACATCTGAGTGTATCCCTTGAAGTGTCTGAACTTCACAGAGCTTCACTGTGGCCCTTGCAGTGCTCTGGATCAGGAGGTGCAGCAGCAAGTCATGCATCCCCAGTTGGGATGTCTCCCCATGGTGTGTCCCAGGCCTCTGCTGTAACTGCTGTCCCCGTCACCAGGCTAAATGGGGAGCTTTGGAGCCTCCCTCAGGCTCTGCCTCCCTGCTGGGCCATGTTGCCAGGTCTAAAGTGCCTGGTGCTTTCCTGGCTCTCCCTGTGACATTTCCCAGGCAGGGCTCTGACACCAGCACTGTGGAGCTGACAGAAACTTTATCTACTCTTTATTTGACATAAGCCCTCTGCCCTTACCTCTGTTTTACATATATTATACCAGTGTTTCCCAAGCTCTGAAACACCAAATGAATGTACTGGGAAGGACACAGCTTTAATCCAGTCTGGCCACAGAAATGGCGTTAGTTTTCACTAAACTGATGCCATTGTACTGAAGTGATGTATTGAGTTTACATCTGTTACTGCATTGCTAATCATTGATTTAGTGTAACTGAGTAACCAGATCCACTTTTAAGATCATTTCCCTGTAAAATTTAAAAACTGATTTGGACAAGTAAATACAATCTCTGTGTTTAGCCCAGCTGGTAGAGTGGGCTCTTGGCTGTGAAACATGCAGTGCTGCTTTTGTAGTGTAGCCTGCAGAAGAAAATAGTGTTTGGCAACCACTTGATGAGACTTTAACTAGATGGATCCATCTACTAACTGACAACTTTGCTGTCACTGAAGTCTCCTTACCCTCGCTTTCTCATTCTAGAGAGGAAAAAAAACTTCATCAATGTATCTGAATGTCTCTCCTATAAAGCAAGCACAGTATATTCTGTCCTCAATCTTCTAAAGCATCAAGGTGAAAGCATGGGCTGTTTGTCTTCCAGAGTCAGGATGACAAATGCCATTCTGCTGGGAATAATTTCGCAGGCTGCTGGCATGTTTTCTAACCAAAATTGTATGAGAGACTTTTACACAGGCAAGGCAGTTGGTGCAGACACACGAGACCATTGATTTCATTGGTATCCGTCTTTGATGGGGCTCTGAACTGTTTTGCTATGTTAACAAAATAACCCATCAAGAGATCAGAGATGTCAACAGCTGGATCAGCCTTTGAGGAGAGCAGAAGGGAAAATGGCAATTGCAGTGGGCAAGCTTTCATGGCCACCCAGCAGTCCCAGCTGCAGCTAGCACCTAAGTGGTCATGAACACTAACAAACTCTGTATTCAAACTTAGCAAATTACAGAGTCTGTGGGACAGATGAGTGAAAAGCTGCTGCTTTTTCCACATATCTCTGCCCTGATAAATGGAGGTAAGGTCTTGTCTAATTGGGGTCACATGTGGAGAGCAGTGAGAAAATGCCTCTGTATTGTTTTTATCTTCATCTAGCAATGCCTGAAATGAAGAGTCTTATTAAGCAATAATGAGAATGTCAATTTGCACTATTTGTGCTGCATTTTGCATTCAAAGGGATTATGGATATGTTTAGCAAAGCTGTAATTATGGATTATTTCAACCAGCAAGATGTGATGGCCTCCCACTCACAAGAGTGCACAAGGCAACATCTTTTCCTTTAAATCTAAGCCCCTGCTTCAAGGCAGAGCTGTCAGATGATGATTTTTTGCTGCTGCCATTAATCCTTTTACCACTTTTTATAGATAAGAAGCCAGTTAACCCAAGAGTGCAGTTTAAAGCTGGAGGCCTTCCAGCAGGTTGATGAACTGCAGTGTCAAGTTTATGACCTAGAAGCTGCAGTTTCCCAGAGGAAAGTGACTGCAGGTAAAGACAGGTTGTGTGTTGTAACCTACTTTCTTGGGGAAATAAGTTTTATGAGCTATGTATCCATGTCTCTGAATCCCTCCTTAACCTTCGAAGCAATAGGCAACTTCAGCCAAATATGAAAGAAGAGAAGACCTCCTTTGTAATGAAAGCATTTAGGGAGAGGAGAAAGACCTGAAACAATCTTGAGGAAAAGTCAAGACAACTCAAAAGCCGTATTCCGCCTTAACACATTTTTTCATTTTAATTCTGCTCAAGCAGCACAAGAAACACTGACTCCCAAGTTAATAACTTTAGACCATAACTTGTGTTGTCTTTTGTTTTGTATGGATATCATGGAAAATATGAGAGGAGCTGCATTCAGGGGAGGACGAAATTAGGAAACCAAGTGGTAGGAAATCAGGCTACATTAGTGGTTCTGGTCTTGGAACAGCTTGCTTACAAGTCATATGGGGCAGCCAAACAAGACTGTGCCCTTGGTATTATATTAGATACATGCCTATGATTGCAAGTATCTTTAGAGGATCTCAAAAGAGCAGTAAGAGATTTCTAGCCATTAACTGAATCAACATGGAGATGAAACCTTTAAAACAAATCTTTCTCCTCAGGTGTTTTGTTAGGTAACATTTTAATGTAATGCTTATGTAATTCATGTAGCTTAAAAAGCTTGATTAGGGGTCTCTCCTCCTACCTGCTTGAAGTTGCTGTTTTCCTCTGTGGCATCAAAATCCCACTGTCAGCACACTGCTGAAGACAAGTCATGAACCAAACAGGGCAAAATAAAGAGCAGGGAGGTATCTTTAATTAATGCAAAAATATCCCTTGTTTCTCTGGCTTTAAACCAATCAAGTTCAGGGGAAAAGTTGGTGCAAAACTGACAAGTCACATTGATGCTAATGAGCACAAGAAAAGCATCTGTGAAAGAAATTAGATTAATTTTTTCTTTCCTGCAGTGAGTTGCCATTGTTAAACATGATGCAGAGCTGGAAAAATTGACTGAGTTAAAATTCTGCAATGTATTGTAGCTACCTTTTTACTTGGGATTTTTTTATTCCTATGTCTGCAACAACAGACAGATGTGGGGCTTGGTGGTATTTTTTTCTCCTTTCAAAAAGGTAAAAGGAAGACTGCAGAGCTTGTTGTACAAACAGTATAAGACGTCATCTTCCAGGTAATAAGTCAATATTAAATAGCTATCATTTTTGTTACATTAATACTACTTCTCATAAGGCAATCCAGACTTGTAAAGATTTGTCTTTTCTCTTAATCTGAGTTGCACCATGCCACTAACCTGACTTTAGACCTATAGCATTTGCCAGATCTATTTGTATAGGGGTGGCAGCTGTTACTTGCAACTATAAAGGCAAAGGTATTTTTGAAACAGTTCATGTCAACTCCAGGAATTGCCCACATAGACAAAGACTTCAGCCATATTGTAAGAATTATCTGTACATTAGCAGCCCGAGCCGTGTCCTCTAGCTTTTTCTCCATTCTTTCTCCCACATCTTCCTCTTCTTCCCTCTCCAATACACTAGGCCATGCCTGTCTCAGTAATGAAGAACAATTGCAGCACTTCTTTCTGGGTTCATGCGATGCTTGTGTAGTCAGTCCTCTCAAGCCCCTGCTTCAGGATGCATGGACGCTGAACGCCGTCTGATCAGAGTGGGTAGTTGTGCACTCTGGGCAGGTGCCAGCTGTCCTGCTGCTTCAGCAGAAGACCAGACTCACTTGGACACGCACCCTGAAATAATGCCAGAAATAGCTAACCAGTGTGGTCTGAAACATCTTGCATCTTATCGGAGGAGGAACACTGTTTCAAAAAGTGCAGGATTACAGGTACCCAGCAAAAATACCTCACTTTTTCACCTAAAGTTTGTGGGAAACGTTAACATAGAGTTAAGAAGTAGTATAGCAACAAATCAGGGTTAAATCACATTATGGCTGATAGCAAGCATAGCATTTGATTCAGTGGGGATTGTTTCAGTGGCTGAAGGGTTGGCATTAAGTGGCTGCATCTCTGCTTTTTGGAAATCTACAAGATGAAGACTGGAATTCACTCCGACTGGGAACAGATCATTAACACCCACCCACTCCTTTTAACCTTGGCTTTCAACAGGACCAGGAAAGTCAGTGTTGTGGGGAAAACAATCACATATAATGTAGACTTGAGGCAGCAAGAATTTTCTGCTTCACTGAGATGTCTCCTGCTGGAGGAATGAATCCTGAGACACTCATTCCTATGAATGAAAAGGGTGCGGGATGAGCTGCAAAAATTGAAGATAGTTGCAAATAGTTTTTGTAAATAGTTGCAACTATCTGCAAATAGCTTTTTTTTCTACTCTGTGTCAAGCTCATACATGAAGCATTTTTTCCAGACTAAGCAAGCAATCTGTTATTCTACTAGTACTGTTTGCAACTTGGTTTTTTTTTTTCTTTTCCCCCTTACATTCTGCTTAGAGGTCAGAAACAACAGCTTTTACATTTACTTGAGTTCTCCTTTAACTCTGTGTTGTTCGTAACACTCCAGGTTCTGCAGCTCAGGTCCAAGGTAACAAGCTTTCAGCATCTGCTCAGCATGGGGATTACCAGCAGCATCCTTTGAATTTTGACCCAAGAAGCAGCAATGGAACAGGAAGAAACACTCAGAGACCAAAGACAGTAAGTAATGGTTGCACTGGTAATAAGCTGGTATGGTTGCAAAATAAGCAACTTTTTTGCTAGTTTGCAAGCTGCAATTTGTATATATATACCCAGGCAGGTTTCATCTGGGCAACAAGTAAAATACTTTTGAAGATTTATCTTTAAGAGCAAGGTGACCAGTATGTACAGCTAGCAAAAAGGAAAAAAAAAAAAAAACACCACCAAATGTTCCAAAAACTGACTAGGGAAAGGGGCAGGAGGGAGGTATTTTAGTTAGCAATGTTCCAGGGAAGATTTAAGTACCATGCCATGGTTAGTGACTATTTTTATATGTTATTTATGCTTTCAGGTGCTTAGCAGATTGAAGTTGATGATGGCAGATAGGCTATTAACACACCTACATGAAAAGTCTCTTCCTACTGTCTTCATGCAGACACAGAAACAAAGGCTGGTCCAGAAATAAGCCTAAATGTATTTTTTAATCAGTCCAGGGCACTTTAGAGAATGTCACTGAACTGGCAACCTTGAAGTAAGGGAACAATTTATATACAAATCAAGAGGGGCATTAATACTCCAGTGCTGTGCATATGTACTTCAGCATATGTGGAAGCAGTGTTCAATACCAGCTCCAGCCAGTTAATCTAATCCATTTTAGGTACTGGGTGATGCAGATGGTCCTTCTAAGCAAGAGCAGCACTGACACGTCCACCCTTTACAGACAATGCAGCACACTACAGAAAGGCAAGGATATCAGTCAAAACTTAAAAGTTTCTTTTTATTGTGGTAACCTTGGAACATGGTGGTGCAAAGCATAGCTCAGTGCTTAGAGCAAAAGAATTGGGTCTGGTGGTTGGGGCTCATTTGGGGTTTTTTTTTTTTTTCCTAAACTGCTTTCCTATGGCAACCCCCCACTACTCCATCCTGCCTAATGCAGTGCTCTCACCCCCAGAGATTGCTGTCTGTACACTAAACCTTTCATGCGTGTTAAAGATGACTCATCAAAACTGTCAGCACCTCCACCTTCTCTAGCACTTTCCCTCCCCTTAGCAAGGGGAAGCTCTTTGCACAATGCTACACTAACTAGAAGAAAACTAGAGGAAAAAAAAGCATAAATTTATCTGCATTTTGCTTGTATGGACAAAAGCTTGCTTTTATAGCCTATCCAATAAAGGACCCAGTTGCCTTTCAGAGATGTGTCAAATTGTATTGCAGCTTTTGATGAGGTAGAATACTAACCTCTGTGCCTTTTAGCATCATCCACATCCCTGGATGCTTGTGAACATGACTAATCAAATACCTCAGTACTCCTTTTATAGATAACTAAGACCTAGAATTAAATTCAGGCAACCCTTAACAGCATTGCATTGGTTAAACGCTAAGTGAAGGAACTCTAACTTCTGTTAGAAATGCTGACAAGCTTTATTTCATTCAAGCTTGCTGCTACATCAAAACCAGTTACAATATACTCAGCATGCTGTGAAATCAGTTATCAAAAAACCTGAGTTCTTTTTAAGGTATATGTCTTGAATGAACGAAGAGGTGACTGATAACTACCCAAGGTCAGCTGTCACTAGAGAAGCCATCAAGTGCAATTCTAGCACATTCCAGGAACCACATGTCTATTTAGAAGTATAAGAGCATCATCAGTATGAAGCACTTCTGTGCCATTGCAGCAAAAAAGGAAAGGGCTGTCTCAGGCTAATTACAGCTTCTTGATAAAATACTTCAAGTATTACTCAACATAATACAGCAAAATTCAAAGATGATTTTTTGAATGAATTAATGCTATACCTACAGAAGACTACCTTGAAAGAACAGCAGTAACACAAGACTGGTACTATAGGGATGAACAATTGTGCATAGACTTTCAGTGCTGCATTGTAAAAAAGACAAAACAAAACCAAACTTAATTCAGTCCTTGACTGTGTGCAGTCAAATGGATGATTTTCTGGAAGGCATAGCAATATTAAACACATCAGGAAGCTCTAGGTTTTCTCCATTTCCATACAGCCTTTCCAGAAACATTACTAAAGTTTTTGCAATTTCCCATAATATGAGACTGAGTTATGTCAACACTACCTAGTGACACATTCACACAAAAGCATCAAGGTCATGATGTGAACTATTGAAGTTACTTCACTCAGAGCTTATCTTTTTATAGTCAGTCTGCAACTACAGAAACGCACACCCTCTGTTCACTTGTTCAAGCATACTGACAGTTATTCCCTAGCAAATGTCCTCCTCTCTCTCATGCAATCAGGAAAGAAATAAGGCTCAGAGCCAATACCTTTTTCATGAAAGTCAAAGATCTTAATGTGAAAAGATGCTACAATGTAGGGGTTACTAACAGGCTCCCTGGAACCACAGGCTGCAGTCCCTCTTCTACCTTACAGACTAACATCCATTGTTACAAGCTTCACTATTGCAAAGAGGAACGTTAAGCCTTACAGTTGTTACAAGTGGAACACGTAATAAATGCCTTGCTGTTCTTTGGCTTCAAAGGGAGAAAAGGGTAAAACTGACATGAAAAAGAATTCTTCTGAGACAATTGTGTCCAAAATGCAAAGTTAATACTGTATTTAGGAGAGCTAACTTTACCCTTCAAACTTTCATTCCCCCTCTTTCCCTACAGAGTTTCTCAATTCCTTTGGAAAACAGCTCTTATCTCCAGAAAGTCAGCAGACAGTCCGCTCTGGGATTGCTCACATTAAAGAAAGTTTACAAGTAAAATTCCATTCAACAGATTTTATTTATCAATTTGGTTTTGCAATTACAACTGTTTTCTTCCACTGAAGACAAAATACAAACTTTTACAGCAACACTTGCAGAGAACATTCATAAGATAACAGCTTGATATTTGCACAAGTTGGCTTCAAGAAAAAGCCAGATAATTTGAAAAGTCACTACAGTTCAGTGCCTAAAATTGATTTAGGGGCAAATACAGCTACAGATCTATGAGCTACCTTCCACTTCAAAACACAAGGCCAAGAAAAACTGCAAGTTGTTATTTCAGGTTTTTGCTAGTACACAGCACAGATCAGCTGCTACTGCCGTTTCACAAAGGAGTAATTACTTTCGATAGTGAGGCAGCCAAGCACACGATGAAGATGTATAACCCAGTCCCCCCTCCCCCCAAACAACTGAAAGGGAAACAACCGGAGCCACAACTCCGTAAACTGGATTACACCTTGCTGGCCAGGGTAATGAGCAAGCAGTGCGTAGTGCAGGCCTTCCAGAACATGACTAAATTGATATGGTACAAGCTTGAGTTTTTCAGATTGACATATGTACATGCCAGAGATCCTGGGTTTCCTAAAGTCTTGGAAAGTAGCAATTGCTGGCACCAAGAAAAATTTAGTAACTAAGGCAAGGTATCCCTTCTACCCTTTTAAACAAAATTTGAGGCAAAAGATTAACCAACTTTAAGGCACTTTAAAAATTATTTTTAGTTTGCTTTACCAGCATACTTTATCAGCAACCTAAATTAGGATCAGCATAGCTCATGAATAAGCATTTTAGCAACATCTTACAGAGTAATGACCTTTTTTTGTGGCAATGTCTTCCATGCTATGAAGCACTCTGTATCACTTTTCTGTAAGTTTCACAAAAAATAGCCCTTTGAGGCCAAAATAATTAAATACTAAGCATTTAGTTTGGTTCACTGAGCTGAAGAACTCTGTCACACTTTAGAAGAGTGTTTTTCTCACTTCAAAGCACAGAATACAAGCTCACAGATATCTTTTTTAAACAAATAAATTTAATAAAATAGTTCTGAGATAGGAAAAGGGCAGATTAAGTGATTTCACAATAAGGCCAAGGATATGCCATCTAACCCACACACTGTTGCTGGAAACTAGCTGCTCACTCTGCTGTTTTAGTAAACCTGAGCTGATTGTCTTAGTTTTGTTTAGAAAACCAAAAGCTAAAGAACTTGAAAGATACAGTACTGTTGAGTCACTTCTGTTTTTTGTAGCAATTTGAGTTTTCTATGCAGCACAATAGAAACAATGCCATCCAAACTAGAAGAACACAAGAAACCAACACTGTGCACTTTAAGTTTCCAATGGAAGTGCACTTAATTTGCTTCATATTTAAGTTCCACTGCCATGACTATTATCTGCATTAGTGCTATCATTTTGTATTGGGTGCCAAATTCCAGTCAAGTCAGAGCTAGTAAGACAGTACTACAGATTATCCTGAAATTGATGATCAAGGGATATAATCAAAAACTATGTGTATGTGCTACAACCACCAGTTGATTTTATCTTTATTTCCATTTTTCCTGTGGGTTTATTTTCACAGGTGCTCAAGTCAATCTACAGTGGAGATGACGTACCTTACTGCATGGCTGATCCAGCCAAGGAAAAAAGAAAATACAATTTGGATGAATAGATTTCCTTAACCAGTTCAATGCAGGGTGACACAAACCTGATGCCAGGAAGGGGGAAGGGGAAAGAAAAAAGGTGTAGCCCTGGCAGCCCCGGGACTATAGCAATCTGGACTAGCATCAAATCAGCAGATCCTCTGCACTACCCTTAATTGCTCCTTCAGCAAGCAGATACACAGGAGGGTAAAAAAGAAAAAAAACAACAACCCTGAAATTAATTGCAACAAGTTTAAGAACCACTTGAATACGAAAAACCTCACAATTTCCCAAACACCAGTATTTCAAGTATAAATATAAGCTGTTGCCTTTTTACGCAGGGAGTGAACTGTATTTTATCACTAGTTTTATGGTTGGTCTTTGTAGGCCGGAACAAAAGGTAAACAACTTAAAGCTTGTTTGTAGCTGAACATTACTGTACCATGCTCCCTCACCCTCAAACAAGGTCAATAAGGGATGTTTTTATACTGGAATTCTCAAGTCACATGTATTCCATTCTTGTACTTAATAGTTTTATTTATCTTTGAGATAGGTGGGACGCTTTTGCAGCCTACTGATTTTTAGTCTTTTAAGGCACTAATCTTCATTTGCCCTTTCTAAGGATTATCCCTACATTCCCTCTCCACCCTCAACATTAATTGGAAAGGGCATAGGATTTCTGTTTGGAATGCAGTGTTTTATCAGGCAACCTTTATTCTTGTGTAAAAAAAAAAATATGGGTTATGTTATTCTCTTAAGACATTATCTCCTTCTACAATTTTGTTCATCTTTCTAGCAGCACGCTATAAGAGCCACAATCTAGTATAAATGCTATTTCACTCCCTGAAGTCAGTCACCAATAATTCACATCTCACGAAAACTGAAGGGATACTGTATCAAATGTTGATTAAATTAGCCTTCACAATAAGTCCTCATTAGATTGTCTGCTCAAGACAGTGTTGCCACTGAATAAGAATCTGAATGTCTACATTTGGCATATAAAAAAAAGTCCCACAGCAGCAGCCACTAAAGGAAAATAAAACAGCCATTAGAACCCATGCAGCATATTGCAAGTAATCCTGTTGAAGAGATTCATATCACCTCTTGCCAAGTATAATGTTGCAAAAATATTCTTTTAAAGTCTTCATTTAGAGATTTAAGGGATATTATGAACTGCTGTCTTCCATGAGCAACAGAAGATATTTTGGTTCAGTGAACTACAGGTGTTGGGCTACTAGTCCATTATGATGAAGTGGCAGGTCCTAAAGTGTGTGATAGTTTCGGTCTTTCGACTTGCAGAATTTGTACAGAAAGAAAAAAACAGCCTGCAGACCCAGAACGAGGACAATTCCACCTATGAAACTCGCAGCATCAAATGTAGATTTGCGTGGAGAAGGTGCAGGAGTCACAGTAGCATTTGTACCTGTTAAACACCACATTAGAGTTTGTGAGTGCACAATGCTCAAATAGTTTTACAGATTTTAGTATTGGCTTCCTTGTGTTAAGATTACTCAAAACATCCAAACACCAATAAGACAACAAAAAATAAACAAAGGTAAAGGCATGTCAGCAGCTGCATTTAGATTAGCGATATTTAAATTCTGATTAAATACTGTTTCTACAAGGATAAAGCTATGTATAGCCAAACTGCTCTGGACCTCAATACTGAGCAAGTCCCAGATGGACTTTATTTGTACTTCAAAAAGCCAAAGTTTTCCTCCTTTACATAGAAGTATTGATATGCTCACATTCAAAACATATTTTCTGGTCTCTGCTGCTTGCTCCATTTTTTGCCCAAATTCAAATTACATTATTATCTTCCATCTATTGTACTCTACCCCAGGAGTTACACTTAGAAATAATCTGAAGCCACAACACATGAATCTGGAAGTAATAGCCACCTGCTGATGACTAGTTTTAAAGAGCTTTACTTCATGAGAGCTTTTTAAGGCAATAGCATAGTCAGGACCGATGCCGAAATAAAATACATCAGTTTATTCCCATCACTGTAGCCCAATATTTTTTTTTTTAAAATAGGTATCTCATTATTATGCTGGAAGAGAAAAACAAAATACCACCTCCCAACAATAACTAAGTTAACAAGTGACTTCCAGACACACTATTAAAAGTGGACAGCTGATTTTGTTTGACCAACATGTTTCGGACTTTTAATATCCCAACAACTAGCTCTGTTTTTCAGGGTATTAACTTGCTACATACATATATCACATTAACAAAATTAGACATGCTATAAAGTTAGAAGTGACAACAGCAGATATACCAATACTACTTTGATGCTGTCACTTGGTAAGTCTTTGAAGATAACGCTTTCAAAGCAACACTAATTGCCAAGTATTTTATGCTTTAATTATGCTAGTAGTAGCTGTTACCTGGAACGCTGGTTGTTGTGGTAGCTGAAGTAATGGAAGTTGTAGGTGGAGGTACATGTGTAGTTACATTGGTGATGTTAGCTGTTTGAGAGAAGACAGTATGTGCATACCATAAGCTTGAAGAACTGAGTTTGCAAGCACTGAAGTTCCCATGTAAATGATTTGTCTTGTTTTGCTTAAACAAGGATAAGTTTTGACCTCAGACTGTACCCCATACAATTTAGATGTTCAACTGCATGGCATTAAGCCAAGCTTCTGACATGAGGATTCTTTTTTAAACCTGCATACCATTGTTATCCAAACACTTCAAGGTTCTCCACAGATCAGATAGTGATTCTTTGTTCAGACAAAACCACTGTTCTTTCAAGCAGTAACATAAATGCTGGTATTTGAACAATAATCAAGATGGCTGTTTCAAGACAACCCAGAATCTGCATCAAGACAAAGGACTTTCATTAAACAGCCCTTAGAACCAGTTAGTATTTATTGTACTAAAAAAGTACTTAATGTAATATCTCTAGACAGGAGGTAAGCACATAAAGAATGCAACACTTCCTCTTTCCACCCCTGTCCCCAAAACACTGTGAATGACATCATTGGAATAAGCAAACTCACCTATAGTTAGACTGTCTCCTAAAAGCTCTTCTCTTACAAAGCCAGAACAGTGGGTCACTGACCACCCCACCACCCCCAATTAGTATTACTAAAAATTAATCGGTATTCCACTATGTGCCAGGGACAAGTGCCAACATTTGTAGGTTTACTCAAAGCTACATGTCACCCTACTGTACATTAGGCTGTTCTGAGCCTAATCAAGTACAAACTCCTCATCTCCCAGCTTCCTTAAGCAGCAGATGCTTTTAAAGATGATATTTTTTTTTAAAAACTTCACTGTTAAGATGGCAGCACGTGTAAGATAAGAATAGAAATTGTTGAACAGGGCAACCAAAAAAAAATTCAAACTCATGAGAACTTATTTGTGGAAGTGACTAATTCAAACAATTACCACTGACCCAATTCTCAATTATTTCGTAACAAAGCATTTTCTCTGTTAGTTTTATAAAATCCACCTCTTCCAAACATTGGGACCATTTATGTATTCCATACATCAAATGTTTAGTAGTCATGCTACTACAGTGATGTGTGGAAAAAGCCCTTGTCCTTTATTTTATTCACCAGTTCCTAGTTTATTGCCATTCTATGTTCAGTGGTACTATATTACCTATAGTAGTATGAGCTGTGGTAGCAGAACTGGCTGTGGTAGTATTGGAAGACGCTGTGGTAGTATTGGACAGTGGTGTGGTAGTATTGGAAGACAACGCAGTAGCACTGGAAAGAGGATCAACTGTAGGAGCTATGAAAGAATAAAGAGTTATGTTAAAGAGATTAATGACAGTATTTAACTAAAAAAAAACCGCAAACAACAACACAAACTCAGCAGCAGGCTGAGTTTTAGAGAATTCATATAGCACTGAGTTCTGTTGTAGCTTTGGTTTGAAATTACAAAGCAGTTGACTGTTCAATCCACCACACTAACAGCAAAAGTTGCACAGGCAAATACAGGAAAAACCTTGTCATAGGTGGCCCAATCAAGCCAGCCTTCAACTGGCAACTCAGGATTCCTCACAGCAAACAGAAGGGAGAAGAGTCCTATTGTAGAAGCATAAACTGTGCGTGCTTTTACACAATAGGAAGCTAGGTGTTCAGTACTGCCTCCCAACTCAGTGCAACTAAAGTAAAACTTGACCTATCAAGTTTAACTAGAAATCAGAGTGGTTAGACAGCTGAAGCAGTATGGGGGCAAAACCAAGACATCCTCAGGAATTTTAAAGCTTATCTAAAGCTTTCTGTTCTGAGAGCTGTTGCTGGTTGTAGGTGCTCTCAGCTTCAGCATATGCAGTAAAAAAAAAGCTGTGAAGCCTTCTGCAACTTACTGTATTAACTGAGTTAACCACATATGGACAGCTTACCTAAACTGATCCTTAACCATACACTGATACATCAGCAAGCTTCCTGCTGAGATACCATTAAATTCAGAAGCCTTTAATGCTTAGGGTCATTTAAATGCAGTTATTTACCTCTTGAAAACAATTCAGCATGGTGGGAAACCAGAGCTGACTGTTTCTACAGAGATAGGCTGGATACATCAGAATGTACATTCTCTCAGGTCCCACTTGCATCAAGTCAGTTTAGGTCCACCCTAACGTTTTTCCACATCAATCCACAAATGTAGTGCTGAGCCATGACACTGTAAAGGCTGATAAGGTATACAAGTTCCTCTCACACCACAAAGATCGTCTGCTAAAGGTGACAATTAAGTTTCCTGGAATACGCAGAGGCTAAAACACAACAACCTGATAATATCACAACAAGTTTAACAGGAACAGATTGTAGAAATTATATTCTTAGATGTAGAACAAGGTATTGTAACAGCATGATCTCCTTGGAAAGCACTGAAAAATTATACTTTTAACACTCTTGATTAAGAGGCAATTGTTACAATTTTAGAAACAACACAGAAGTCCAATTCAAGTGGAATTATTTCTGACTGGCTGCCGCCACCACCACCACAAGATAGCCCATAGCAGCACGGAAACTTAATTTCTGTTGGTATGAGCCAGCCTCTTTAGAAGCACTGT